CCATGAATAACCAACCCTCTGCTTCGAATCCAGGATCAAACACTAGTGACACAAGTCCTGCGGCTAATAACGGCAACAACACTCCGATCGCCAACATGTCGACCAACTCTAATAACAGCAGCGGGACCTCCAATAGCCCGACGCCCAACGGAAACGGCACATCCAATTCCAGTGAGAAGAGGAGTTCGCCCATAGATCAGTCCTTGTCTTCAAAATATAATCCCAAACATGTGTGTCGAGTGTGCAATAAACCATTCTCTAGTGGTTCCGCACTTCAGGTAATCCATACATCCATTCAATTTTCTTCTGCAAACCAAACACCAGTCCCGACACTAACGGCTTGTAAATTATGTTTTCAGATACATATGCGGACGCATACGGGCGACAAACCCTTCAAATGTCAAATTTGTGGCCGAGCTTTCACCACCAAGGGCAATTTGAAGGTCAGTATTTCGCACGGTTTATGTCACTGAATGTATTGAGTATTAATGGGAATAATATGTTGAACGACAGGTTCATATGGGAACTCATATGTGGAGTAATGGTTCCTCGCGAAGAGGTCGGCGAATGTCTATAGATTTGCCAAATTTGCATATTTCTCCCCCAAAACAACTCGAGTTTGGCTCTCGGACTGGGACTGAGATACTGATGGCTCACTTCAACTGATATTCTCCTCTAAGTTATTATTAAACCAAATATAATATACATAACAATGAATTGCTTTTACAAAACAAATCTATGAAAAATAAGTTTTCATTATTAAGTCATTACTTTATACAGTACTTGTACATTAGATTTAAACGTAAGCTAACAAAGCGTTAATTCATTTGATTTATTGTGAATCAATTTTTTAAAGTTTTTGTTTAAAACGATTACTCGATTAATAGTTAATACTTTCTCAAACAAAATACACTGAATGCTGAAATTGTCTTTGTTTTTGTATATTATATGACAAAACTAGTCAGACATACAATTCTATACATATTTAATACACATTGATATCTATTTTATAATTTAATCCCATTTTTGTAATTCAATGTTTTCTCAAAAATGTTTTGATCGGTTGTTGGATCTGTTAGGGGAACGACTATAACGACTATAATTTGATATATACTTTGGACGACATATCGATTATTTATGAGAGACGGGGATTCAATTTGAACAATACATGGCTATGGCTATATCTATAGGGGTATGGCTATAGCTATAGGGGTCACTGTCTAGGCATTACTCATAATAGAGAGTATTTTTGGCTAAAACTAATCAAATGAGAGGAGAGATAGCTATTTACGCGTATTATATACAACACAGACTCTGGAGTCAATTGAATGAACACTTTATACCCCACACTGGATGAGCACTGATATGTTGATGTGTTTGAGTCCATCAACTCATCTGAGAATTGATAGCAAAAACATGAATGGCTTACAGTTAGTCCGAGTCATATCATAAGTATATTTCAATGTTTTCACTAAACATATGTATATTTTTATGCAATTCTCACTCGTATTCATATTCCGGGTAATTATGAGACAACTGACGATTCTATACATTAATAGACTGATAGACTGACCAAACTCTGTGAGCCCACGCATGGATCACTTGAAACAATTAGTCTGAAAACATATCAATCCAAACAAACTGTCAGTTTCTGTCCCTTCTATTCAAACANATAAACCGTGCGAAATACTGACCTTCAAATTGCCCTTGGTGGTGAAAGCTCGGCCACAAATTTGACATTTGAAGGGTTTGTCGCCCGTATGCGTCCGCATATGTATCTGAAAACATAATTTACAAGCCGTTAGTGTCGGGACTGGTGTTTGGTTTGCAGAAGAAAATTGAATGGATGTATGGATTACCTGAAGTGCGGAACCACTAGAGAATGGTTTATTGCACACTCGACACACATGTTTGGGATTATATTTTGAAGACAAGGACTGATCTATGGGCGAACTCCTCTTCTCACTGGAATTGGATGTGCCGTTTCCGTTGGGCGTCGGGCTATTGGAGGTCCCGCTGCTGTTATTAGAGTTGGTCGACATGTTGGCGATCGGAGTGTTGTTGCCGTTATTAGCCGCAGGACTTGTGTCACTAGTGTTTGATCCTGGATTCGAAGCAGAGGGTTGGTTATTCATGGGGGTAGTGGTGGTGGTGGTGTGTGTGTAGAGGTCAGGGGGCAGGTCTCTAATTTTGTGAGTAAGCATATGCTGTTTCATATTGCCTTTGGTGGAGAATCCGCGGTCACAATAGTCACACTTAAACGGACGCTCTTTTGTATGACTTCTGTAATGGATTTCAAGCGCCGAATAACAGGCGAATGTCTTCAGACATATTCTGCACGTCGTGTTCGGCCGACCCGTCGGGAACTGGAGGCCAGCGAACGGCGGCGGAAAGAATCGGTTCTCCATATTAGGGGTTTGAGGCAGTGATCCCATGGGGTTGTCCTGAGAGGCCGACGACTGGTTGCCGTTGTTATTAGATTTAGGGGTTAAGTCTAGCGCTCCGCCGGTGGGGGTCGTGGGCGGCGACGACCTGTCCATTGTTCCCAAAGAGCTGTCTGGTGTGGACCTCTCATCGGCCGATATCTCAGAAGTGATTTTACTGTTCAGCGATGAGGGAGAGAATGACCGCACATTCGGCGAACACTTGTCGTCCGATTTTCGGTGGACCGACAAATCGGCGGCGTTTGATGGGGTCGGCAGACGGACATTGTTTTCCGACTCTATTCGCTGAAATTGACTCAAATTATATAACCCGAGGCCAAAGGGTCCGAAAGGCATGGGCTGCGGGACTGAGGAGTTGATTGTTTTGACGTGATTTTCGAGAGCAGCCAAAGAGGTGGAGAAGTTTGAGTTCACGGAATCGTTTGATTGCGTTGAGACCACTATCGGGGCGCTCGAGGGGGTGGTGGGGTTGGGCGTTGAGGCCGACACTATGACGGGCTGAGGGATTGCGAGTGGAGTGGAAAGTGCCGACGGCTTAGGCGATGGCGATGGGGACCGACTTCGCGCCAGTTTTGGACTTCTGGATGAGTCCGGAGTCGACGCACGACTCGACCGATTGCTAGTCGACGGAGAGATCAACTCCTGCTTACATTCAGGCGTCTCATCGCTTGAATTCTTATCGGATTTCACTTCTGCGGACAAAACTGGCGATGAATTTGGTTTGATTGTGGATAAAGAAGTGATTGGAGATGAGAGAGGAATGTGTAATGAAGAACTGGTTGTCAAACCGTTCATAAATGGGGGCACAAAGAGTCCCGCAGGCGGTGGCAGATGACCGGCAAAGTGCGGCGGCAGGAGTGCCCTCTGGAATGAGGGCATTAGTGTCGGCCCTTTGATCTCATTTGCCATTATGTGTTCCGGAGGAATATCTGTCGGCTCTCCCGTATGCATACGGATGTGTTGCTGAAGAACCTATAAGTGATAAAAATGTTTACATTTGTTAGAAATGTTAGTATAATTTGCAAAACATATTTAGATTATGAATAAATTGTAAAAATAGAAACGTTTGCTAAAATAACAGTGAAGTTTCCGTCTACTTCTCATACATAAGTATCACTTAAGAATTAATAACACATAAAGTTATCTCTAATTGAATATTCATGACAAATATAATACATACCAAAGCATTGGTGAACTGTTTGTGACAAACCGGGCACTGATGGAGAATACGGAGCGGAGGTTTGACTCTATGGACTCCCATATGTGTCTTGAGATTGCCTTTTGTAGTGAAAGCTCGACCACATATCTTGCATTTGAAGGGTCGCTCCCCGGTATGGGTCCTGTAGTGCATCTGAAGAGCACTCTTACAGCTGAGGACGCGATGACATATAATACACTGATTGGGATCCG